GGGCAGGGTGGGAACCGAGGGCTCTGCTGGGAAGGAGCTGTTTGGGAACTGCTCCAGCCTGGGCAAGGCTGCAGGAGCGGGAGGAACCCTGGGAGGGGTTCCGAGGTGCTGGGAGGCTGCAAAGGGAAATCAATAACCCTCAGGAAGCTGAGCAGGTTCAGGGCCTATCAAACAGAGAGTCCTGGAATTACCCAGGACGAGGTTTGGAGTCAGCCCCGAGCAAAGGGCAGCTCTGCCGGCCTGGTCCAGGTGTTGCCCATCCCTTCCCACAGTGCAGCTGCCATTGCTGCATTCTGGCATTTCAGCTCACCCTTCCTTGCACTTGGATATTTTATAAACGCCCCTAAAGTTTGACTTTATTATTTAACAAATCTGGGTTTTAAACTAATTTCCCATAGTGCTGTCACAAAATGATTTTCAGAGCTTGCAGTGGCAGCAGGTGATGGGTTTGGTTGTCCTCTTTTTGGGTGGGATTTATATTAAAATGACATCTGAAGTCTCAATTACTTGAAGCACATGAAGTATTTGAAACCATGCCAAGCTCTGAGGACAGAGCTGTTCAGCAGCACTGGAAGTGTCAGACCCTCGTGTGTAACAGCCTTTATTCCTCTGCAGCCTCAGAGTGAATATTTAGATCTCAATAAATCTATCATTTTCCTACACAGTGATGAGTTCATAGTCCCTTGTTCTCTGAGCTCCCAGTTCGAGGGGCTTATTTTAGGCAAATTACAGCTCATGTATGAGGAAAAATTAATCCTGGTGTTCAGAAATGTAAAATAGGCTGGGAAAGGGGAAACCTGGACTGGCAGCAGTTGGAGATGAGCCCTGAGGGAGAGCAGGGGATCCCAGGTGCTGATCAGCCCTGCAAACACTCCCAGCCCGTGGCCTTTCCCTCCTGGGCCACATCCACCTCCTGCTGTTTGTTGGAGCCAGGGGCACATCTGGGGCTGGATGTGCTGCTGTGCTCACTCGGAGCCTGCCCTGCTCCCTGAGCTCCCGGGGCACAGCAGCTCCTGGCACCGACCCTGTGGCATCTCTGGCACCAAAGTGCAGGGACAGAGTCCTGGTGCCAGCACACAGGGAATGGCTCCCAGTGCCAGAGGGCAGGCATGGATGGGATNCGGGATCCTGTGGGATTCTCCTTGCCCAGCTCCTCCCCCTTTCCTGCCTGTCCTGTCTGTGTGTCCGTGTCCCCGCGCGTGCGTGTGTGTGTATATAATAATATATCTGTTTGTTTGCGGGAGGGTCCTGGAGGTGGGGAGGGAGCTGCTGAGAGCCAGGATCCCTGGGGTATTTATCTGTCCCACTGCAGAACTGCTGCAGAACGAGGATTCTGGGGAGCAGGGAGCAGAGGGAGCCGGGCCGGCCGGAGCGCAGAGCCTGAATAGCTGCAGCCTCCAGTGCTTTCAATCACTCCTGTTATTCCAAACCCGAAACTGCTGTTTGGGAACCTGTTGCTGCTAGAAGAGATGGGAATCTCCTTCCCCAGAGACCTTTTCCCTCTCTGTTCTCACAGTGGCTGCCCGAGGGGCTCTCAGTCAGGTTCCTGGCTCTGTACCTGCACACACAATCCGTGAGCTCTGAGCCCCCGCAGCAGGAACACCTGGAATGCTGGCTCGGGAATGCGCGAGCTGTGGTGAGAGCCGAGCCAGGCGTCACAGCGACCCTGCAATTCCTGCCTCAGTCCAGCAGGACAGGAGCAGAGCTCTGCCTTGTCCCTGCCCCATCCGTGTGGGTCCCTCTGGGAGCAGAGCACTGCCATGGCCAGGCCTGGCTGCTCACTCGCACTTTACTGGACGATCCAAACTGGCGGAAGGCGGCCGGGGCTCGGCCTGTGAGCGTTGTGCTGGTGCCGGGCACCCTCCTGGGATGCTCCTCCTTTCCCAGGCTGTGTTCAGTGAACTCCAGATAGGAAAAGCTGCCTGAGGAGCTTAAAACAATCCCAAATACATGATGGATTCCCCTTCCTCCTTCTGTCCCAATCAGACTCACCTCACCGAAGGGTGAAACTCCCAAATGTCCGTTTGTAACCAACTGGTAGGTGCTCATCCCTTTCCCTTCCCATAGATCCTGCTTAGTGCAATCCAGCAAGGAGGAAGAGTAGATCCTGCTCACGGTGCATTCCCTAGGCACAATCCCAAATTCTCTATGGTACTCCAAGAATCCTGCTGGAGTATTTGAGAGTTCTAGATCCAACAGCTCAAAATCCAAGAAACCTTGGGAAAGGAGCATTTCCCTTCCCTGGAATGTCACAATCACATCATCCAAAGGGGGGTCACGTGGAGAAACCATCTGGCAGAGCTCAGAGCTCTCTTGGGGAGACACTGAGGTGGTTGGAGTGTGCCCTTCCCACCCTGCCAGGATCCCTGCACTGCTGTGAATGCCCAGGAAGGAGGAGGCTGCGTCCTTGTGGCCACGGGCTCTGGGAACGGACGGAGCATCTTGGGATCTCCCTGGCACAGGTGTAGGGACAGAGACGCTGGAAGTGGAGTGAAGGATGGGCTCTGCAGCCCAGGCAGGTGCAGGCTCTGTGGGGCTGAAGGGAGGCACAGGCAGGGCTGTGGTGCAGAGCAGGACGAGGTGGCAGGGCCGGGCTGGGGACACCCCAACCCCAGGAGTGGCTTTGGGGGTGCGGATCAGCCGGAGCCTCCGCACGTGCCAAGAGGGGCCGGGCTGGGATGTACAGTGTGAATAAAAGCTTGCAGCTCTTTAGGCTTTTTTGGATCGATGAAGCACTTTTTTTATTAATATTATTTTTTCTTTGTATGTAAAGGAGGAAGCCGTCTCTCCGTAGCTGTGTACAGAAATAACCCTTCTCTCCGCAAGAGAGTAAAGTGCTCCTATATTTTTCATTTTTGTCAAAAGCGAGAAGTAAATACTTTAGAATTGTTAAATATATAAATAAAAGTGAATAAAGTTTAGACTTTTGCATGGGAGCATTTGCTAACACACTTCCTAATTTTTTATTTTCCTTCCCTGTCCCTTGGAGGGATGTACTGGAGGCTCAGCAGGAGCACCAAGGCCTTGGAAAAGGAGGCTGCAGCTGCTGCCCTTGGCTTTCTGTGCTGTGCTGTGCCTTTCCAAGGAACTACAAACTGCCACTCCTAAACTCAAGACAAAAAATTAAATCTTGGGCTTGGTTTTCCTGGTGCAGCAGTCCCAGGAAGGGGAAGCACAGCACACACCCTGCCAGGTTCTGTTGGCACAATCAGCACGGTTTTCCCAGGATGGAGAAAGGTGCCTGTCTCAGTTTCCTCCATAGTGTGTTTTTCTTTTTCTCCTTGACCAACCACGGTGTTTCAGTCTGGTGATGTTACCCAAATGTGGGATCAGCCCTGATCCCCAGGGAATTGCCCTGTGGGGTTTGGCAGTGGAGGCTCCATTCCCACCTTAGGCTGATGCTGGATGGTGGAGCTGTGCCTCTTTGGGAGCAAACCAAACTCACTCAGCTTTAAGATGTTTTTGTCCCAGAAGTTGGAGAACTCAACTGATGTTTGTCCTGCACAAGGGTTATTCCCATTTTCCAAGCACTCATTCCAGCTGTGCACAGTCTTGTCCCCTCATGCCCCCCACCATCATTTATTTCTTCTCTTACATATTTGAGGATTTCCCCTGAATCCTTGGGGGTCTGAGCAGCTGGGAGGGACCTTGAGCACAATCCCTCTGTGATTCGATGGTGTTCATTAAATCAAAATAAACCAGGTTGGGGTAGAGCTGCTGATGGAATCTGGAGCAGAAAAAAACAGGAATCACGTTCGGTGGTGTAAGGAACATGCAAAGTGTTTCAGATACACCTCACAGTGGGATTTCCTGGAGCTCCTCTCACCCTTGAGTTTCTCCTGAGGGCTCTCTCAGGAGCTCGCTGTCCTGCAGATGTTGGGAGCCCCGGGCACGGGGAAGTTTCTGCTCTGGGAAGTGCCGAGTGCGGGTCTCTGCCCCGCAGAGGGATCAGGGGAGTTCTGAGCTCCCCCAAGGTGCAGAGGGGGACACGGCTCAAGGTGTCAAAGCTCATTTCCCCGTGATCAATTCCTGCT